TCCGTTTAAACACGGTTGCATACTTTAAAATTGGGGTTTTAATTCAACTTATTTATTATGTTTATGTTTGAGTCTTAAAAAGCAAACTTGAAAAAAAAGAGATAAACCGAATCAAAACATTTTTTTTTTATTTTTGGACTGAAATAGACAATATCAAGAACTTGCATGCACAATAAACACAAATAAGAAGTTAAGGGACTAACTTGATTAAATTCACAAACATAGAGGACTGATTTAAAAGAAAAAAAGTTGACCCATGGACTAAATTGTTTGATCTTGAAAGTTCTGGGTAAAATTGAAACAAGGAAAGATAATTTTGCCTTTTAGCAAGATTAAAGGAAATTAAGGACTTAAATTAACTAAGATAATTGATTTAATTAAATGATTAATTTATCATTAATTAAAATTAATTAAAATTAATTAATCATATTTATAAATCTTTTTAATCAAGATAATTAAGTAATATAATCATCTTAAATTAAGATCAATAAAAATGATTAATTTATTTTAATTAAAGTTAATTAATTTTATTAATCATAAACTAAATTAATTATCCTAATTAATTAATCCTTTTTATTTATATTATATCATTTTTTTACTTTTTTTTTGTTTTAGTTTCTTTTTTACTGGACTGGGTCGGGCTAACCCAATCCAGAAACACAATCCGAGCATGAAAATGAACAAAAGAAGATTAAACGTGCAAACAACATGAGGACAGTAGAGTTCATCTAGAAAAGTTTTGCAGAAAACATGCATTCCATTTCGAACACAGCAAATATTCATTTCATACTAGTAAATCTACCATTCATTTCTCAACAGATGCACATAAATTTCAGCATTTCAATCACTAAACAACACAAAGCATCAAAGGAAGAATATATAAAATCTACAGAGAAGAATTCAGGAAAGGAACGGATCAAGATCCAAACAGAGGGATCCCACCCACGGGATCGAGCTCTGTTCATCACCTTCACCACCCCTCCCGAATCCTCTCAGTTCCAGTAATTTACCTAAGACAACAGAAACCCAGAAAACGCACGATCTCCTTCGGTGAATTCTGGACGTTCAGCAGTCCCTTTTCTCTTGCTGCCACCTCCGACAATACTCAAACTCGGACCAAAGAATCCCAGAATCAACCAAGGGAAAGAAAAAAAAAAATCAAATCCCCCAAAATCAAACAGCCAAAATCAATCTCTAGACCCCCCTCCTCTCCTCAGAATTTCCTTCTTCTGCTCTCAAAAACTCAGGCGAGACTCCCCAGCAAACAGACCCAAAATCAACCAACCAACCCCCTATTACTCTGCTTTTGCCCTATATATATACCCCAAATGATAAAAATAAAAATGAAATGCAACAAAAGACAAGGGCCTTGCTCTGTCAATCAATGATGCCAATTTGTCCGGTACTCCTTGTCTTTTCTGCATGAGAGGCAAGGATGAGGGCTGTAGTAATCAGCGGTGCAGAGGCGCGGGATTGGGGTGAGGCGCGGTGTGCAGGGAGGCAGGGGCGTGGAGTGCTGATGATGGCTCGGGCGTGCAGGGGCATCATTGCCAGCAGTGGGGCGGAGCAGGGCAAGCAGAGCGCAGGCGATCTGGTGAAGAGCGCAGGAGCTGGTGCAGAGCAAAGCTGGTGCAGGAAGCAAGGCCGGGCGCAGCAGAGTGCAGGCTAGGGCAGAGTGCAGACGATCTGGGCGCAGAGCAGGGAGTAGGGGCGTAGGTGTAAGGCTCGGGCGTAGGTGCAGGGCTGGTGCAGCAAGGCTGGGCGTGCGAGGGGGCGATGATGGCTCGGTGCAGAGGAGCTGGGCGCGGTGCAGAGGATCTGGGCTGTGCAGGGG